AATTTTAACTTCTCTGCAGTCTATGTCTGCAAACCATAATTACCAGAGCTCAGATTCTAAAAAGATAGTGGGTCGTATCCTTAGTGCTGGAATGGTAATGAGCAATTAATACCTCAGCGTTAAGATTCACTCAAGGAGTGAATAAGCTTTCATTCTCGTTTGTATGGAAATGCACATCTCAGATCCATGCAAATGACCAATGCAATTCAACGCTTGCAGATTAGGCAGATTAGATATGAAGCCTTTTGCAATGGGGAACTATTAGTTGATTGCAGGAAAGAACCAGTGAAAATCTGTAGCAGGATTTTGATATGTCAGTGACTATTCTGCTCAGCTGGATCACAATTAACAGGACTTCAGCCAAAGCGATACAGCTATGGATAGAGTCAAAGTTCTGGCAAAACAACTACAGGAAATAATTTAGCCAGAAAAAAATGTTGCAACCTACAGGTTTCCAGCTCTTTATGAAAGCCACCTCGATAAAGCCTTGCACTTATCTATCCTTTAAAGTTCCATGCTCAGAACTCACACTGAAAATTGCATCAAATACACATAATGTAATTATGGTTTTACTGAACGTGGGACCTGTACATCTAACAATCAAAGACACCGTAGATGGAAGAGAGAAAACCAAATTACTACAACCAGAACACCGAAGAACAGCACACACAAGAGAACTTCCTTTCAGACACTTTTGGTTTTGTAGAGTAGTTCAGATTTCAAGTAGGCAACTTAAGAAGCACCGTAGCATTTGTTCTATTTTAGGGTAGATGTTGCCACATAACAGATTTGTTTTTAGATTAATTCAATGGTGGTGCAAACTGCATTTACAGGAAATCTGAAAAAGTGATATGATTCTTTGTCCAGTGATGCACTGCATGCTTGAATTTCTACATGCAGCTATTTGGATTGCTACTAGTAAGAGGACAAGTGTTTGTGCTTTCAAATGCAAGCATGCAAAATGTGCATATGCTTGCAATGAATATTATCCTGCTGCATTTTTGGATTCGCAGTAAAAGGTGTTATGCACCTCACTACCACACACCATTTGTATAAACAGTAATTTCCATTTAAATCTCTACAACTTGAAATTTAGCAGTAGATACTGTCACTCCTAATGTTCCCTGTAATTGAAAAATACTATTATGAGATGTTAATCACAGAATGGTTTGGTTTGGAAGGAACCTCTAAGACCACCTAGTTCCAATTCCCTGTTATAAGCACCTGGCCTTGAATGCTTCCAAGAAAACACAGCCTTTCTGGGCAACCTGTTCCAGTGTCTCCCTCACAATAAAGAATTTCTAGAATATCTAGTCTAAATCTACTCTTTTCCAGTTTAAAACCATTTCCCCTTGTCCTGTCGCTACGTGCTGTTACAAAAGGTTCATGGCAACCTTGTTAATACTGATATTGACGCCGCACTTACTGTCAGGTACAAGAGTAGTTCTGACTATGTAGAAGGGAACACCTGGAGAATCGCTTTTGGATTCCTGTAACTATTCTTGAAAGGCAAATTTTAAAAAGCATCCAAATAACTGCAGAAGTTTAAGTGCCATTTTAAAACAACTTAGTGAAGAACAGAGCTCAACTTTTCCTGCTCAGAAATAGATGATATCTGTTTTTTAAGTTCTGTTGGAAACCCAAAATGTGTTACTCCTGCTTCAGCAGGGCTTACTGACATCTGTGGGAGTCTGATATGTAGGCACAACACACTGTTAAGAGTCCAGAGACAATCAATTTTGCCCTCACTGTGTACTCTGGATGATCTTCTACTGTGCTCTTGTGTAAAACTGAATTACCCAAGGGCAAATAAGCACTAAGCCCATCTGATTATCTGCAAAGTGCAAGCTGGGTCTGATATATCCAAATTAATGGCCAGCAGAAGGAACAGATCATCCCAAATAGCATTAGAGTCAATACAAAATTAAAGCAGTGAAATGAAGAGATATGGCACACAGAAGTTCTTGAGTGCACTGAGGACTTTTTTTCTGGATCGAGCTGCTAGGCACACCCTGCATTAAACCACTGGCATGCAGCGGTCTCTGCATATGGATTAGCAGTGGTGTGCTCACACAGCTGCACATATCTGGTAAACTGCTTTTGATTTTGATTTTGGTAGCAATCCAGCAGTGGCCAGGTTTCTTGAGGGTAGGCTGAATAGTCATTCACAGATGTTTCAGGATGAAAAAAAAAAAAAAAAGAAGGCTGGTCACCGCAAATAAAATGATTTGTTGCTGCTGTAATCCTGCTTGGCTACATTCTCTGAGGGACCAGATAAGCGTTATCTACATGCCTGGACATGGACAGTTGCTATGTTAGTGGAGCTAGGAGCTCTGTCTGGGCACCGCACTGAGGCAGTTTGTGTCTTCTGGACCAAAGCTGGCTGCTGCCCAGACAGACTGAGGAGTGGGCAGAACCACCGCCTGCAACTGCCTGCACACAGCTCTGGCAATAAGCTTTTCAAAGAACACAGCACTTCACGCTTTTGCCTTTTTTAACTAACAGAAAACAGCAATGAAGTCTAAATATGCTGAAATTACAGACTGGATTTTGATTTTTTTTCTTTTTTTTTTTTCTTTTCTCTCTCCAATCAAGGCATATCATGTTGTACCCCTTCTAGTCACATTCATGACACCACCTTTGCAGCAGTTTGCCAAAACAAAACAAAAAAATCTACAGGAAGGAGTCTGCAAGTAGGTTCCTGCCACCTTGATTCATCCCCCTGGCATTTATGTATTAGGAAACCATCGCAAAATACATATATTGTACAAGGCCAATATATATTGTACAGTTCCAGTTGGTGTACAAGATTAATAGATCCTACATACAACAGTATATTGAGAGGATACTTATTTTCCTCAGAGATTATATATATGTATACAAAAATATCTGATACTAGCGATACAGCTTCATGTTTCAGAGATTTAGAAAAAAGGAAATGGAATTGTTATTTTTGCTGAAAGTCTCCCTCCCTCCCTCAGATAAGCACAGCTCTAAATTTAAAAGAAGGCAAAACAATATATATATATATGGCTGACTTCAATACATGGAAGTTAGACGTTGCCTACACTATAGAAAATCTCTTTAAGAAGCCCAAAATTCAAAACTATTTCAAAACTAAAGGGAATGTAGCTAAACGTTTAAAATACATGGTCACCTTCAAAAACAGCTGATCTGCATATCTTTTAGGCAGCACCTGGCTTGGGAAGGATTTAATTGTGTGATAAATCATCCCACGCACAGAATAGAGAAGGCCAGTCTTGGAGATCAAAAATCGAGCTCTGGCCGCTGCCTGCAGCTGCAGTAAAAATGTGATTTCAGCAGTGCCAGTGTGCTGACATGCACACTGCTGTTTGTCGACTCCAACTGAAATTCTCTATTTTTAGCCTTTCAGCTACTTTCAGATAAAATTCCTGCAGATAGGACTAGCTGTATAGGTCAGATAACATACAACTCTGAAACCACAGATGACCTCATACAACTACAAAGAAAGGTCTGTTACTTAAAACAAGGCTAAAATTTAACCCAGCTATACTAAAATTAAACAGGGAGCATTTTACAGTCCCATTACAAGGCATAAAACAACAGTCACCATAAATTCACAGTGCATTTACTTGTAAAAAGAGTAATTAATAACCCCAAGTAGATTATCTCTGAGGCAGCACAACACCAATGCTTTCTCACGCTCGCTGGAGATTTTACAAACACCACTGAGAATCTATTTTAGCTGTCATCTGAGAATTGTTTGTCCAAACTGAAAAGTCATTGTTCTTTGTCACAATCCACAAGACACATTTTGTCATGTCCCACACTTCTAGCTGACATTAAGGAGATAAAATGAATAAACATAACTTGAACTTTCTGGAATGAGCATCCATTTGTAAGGATGCTTACTGACCACAGACCCAAACAAGCAGTCCACGGCGATTTTTCTCTGTCCAAAATGCACTGTACTTTCCTGTTTTCTTCTCCACTCTTCATGTTTGTTTCCCTATATATCAAAAGGCACCTGTTTCCTTCAAAATGCCATTCATTTCTGACAGATAGAAACATATTCATGAGTGCTATCATTCAAGTCTATCTTACGTATTTAAAGATAAACGTATATGGCAGAATGGATATATCTCACACTAGATACAATACAGATTGAGAGGATCAGTTTGTGCCCTTTGCTCTGTTTCACTCATAACTCTCTTCTGGTTTGCAGAATATTTGCCTGATATTTATTCACAACAAACACATCATGAAGGTATCACAGACTGCCAGTAGTGGCAGAAAGCATTTTTCCCACAACATACTTAAAATGATTCTACTTTTCTTTATCGCAACATAGACAAGCCCACCACCCCAGTTTTCCTCTTTTCTACCTTAAAGCAATGACATTGTCTCTACCTGCCATCCAATCTTTCAAGCAGAGCCAGCATTGAAATAAGGGGTCACATAGCACTTAACTGTTAATCTGCAATTACAGAATAAGTCTGATGTTTTCTGACTTCAAGTCACTTGAAAGGAGAAACTGTTTGTCACAGAGAATGAAAACCAGGACAGAATGAGGTTTGCTCTCACACTCTCTAAGGAATTGTAGGTGGAGTTATATAAACAACAAAGCAACGATCAAAGGGAAATCTTGGGACTGTAATATACCGAAGTATTAAAAGAACAGAGTCTTTTATCTGTCGTAGAGGAAGGAAGTAGAGCATTGAGACATGTGTAATAAATACAATTAAAAATCAAAAAACCAAGCAAGTCCTCAAAGAGACCGAAATCAATTAAAGTCTGTTTGTTTTTTTTTTCCTTCTTCCCTTTCCCCCCCTCCCCCTTAATCTGTTAGAAGAAGAAGAACGAACCAAAAATGCAATCTGCAACAAAAATTACACTCCATCACCTGGAAGAACCAGCCATTCAACTCTATTTTAAGCCGAGCTTTTCCCGTCATCCTGTGAAAAAAGCTCTGTTCAATCACAGACCACACGTTTGTTCACTGCCAGCCTCAGGCTTACCTTGTCCTCCACTCTGTTCAGCCTGGCACCAATCGTGTTATTCCCTCGATCTTTGCTTTTTTCTATGAACAAGAAACATTTTCATATTAATATATGGTGTTATAACAAAACATCAGTAAGCCACAACAGGGTATGTATAAGTAGCCCACCAACACAGTGTAACTGAACACCTCTACCAGGCTGGTAGTTTTATTTCTGAAAAGCAGCTTTTTGTTTCTTTTTATAGTGCAGGCCCAAGCCACAGCTTTTAAGAGCCCTTAAGCTTAAGGCACTTTCAACCTTAGCTTTATGCTTTAGCCTGGGAGATCAAAACTGGTCCCAAGTTAGTTAACATTTTAATTACTGTTTAAAAGACAATTTGGCACTATGTGCAAAAAATAAGTATGAGCAACGCACTTGGACAATGTTTTGTCTTTTTTCCTTTCTACATGCCATACAGAAAAATAAACTTGAAAACAACAGTAACAGGGTTTGGATTAACCAGTCTTGCTGCTAAACAAACTTAATACTTTGGGTTCCTTTTCTACTTTCTTTTCAAAGATAACAAAGATGTATGTGAATATTATTGATTTCATAGGAACTCTGTATTTATAATACACCATTTTACTGGAAACAGGATGAATCCCAGCGAGATTAGAGTCATTATTTTGAAAAATCCAGTGAAAGTAGGTGCTATGGTTTAACCTGGCAGGTGGTTGAGCACCACGCACTCGCTCACTCATTAAACCCCTTCCCAGCGGGATGGGTGAGAAAATTGAAAGGAAACAAACAACGAAGTAGAACTCATTGGTTGAGATGAAACTATTTACTAAGAGGAAGAAACAAAATAAGGCAATAGCTATGCCAAATATACCTATATGAACATGATAACAAATGATGCACAAGCAATTGCTCACCACCTCCTGACTGATGCCCAGCTAAGCTCCTGCTCATCAGAAGAGCCAAAACTCTCACTCCCTTCAAAACACCTTCCACACAATGCCATCTAGTATGGAATACTCCTTTGGCCAATTTAAGTCTGCTGTCTTAATCCTCTTCCCTCTCATCTCCTTATACCCTTCACTGAGAATGGCCTTGACTCTACAACATTGCTTAGCAGCAACTGTAAATATCAGTGTTTATCAACACTGTCCTTCTTCTAGAACCAAAACACAGCATCATACCAGTCACTTTGAAGAAAGTAATTCCACCTCAGCTGAAACTAAGACACCAGGTGCTTTAAATATCTAATTAAGAACAGCCCTATTTAAAAAGGTGTTGTTTAGGTATCTACAATATTTAGTTAGCTTCAGGTCACAAGTTTTTAAAATTGTTGCAACAAAATCAAAAGTATTTTTAAAAGGATTTCCCACTAATTATATCTTCATAAAATAAAATTTAGACATATTAATTTACCTGAGACAGAGATGAAAAGAGATGGCTTCCCTATGCATTGATCCAACCTGTAAACAAAGAAGAAAATTTTTTAGCTTTTATCAATCTGAGGTGATAAAGTGATATCAATCTTCATCTTCTGGAGCTGAATGGGAGGAGACCTCTTCACAAGCAAGCAACGTGGTTTGTACAGCAAATGAACCAGCATTAGACTTGAACGGTCTTCAGCTTTCTTTAGCAAAAGTGGAGTTTTACCGTGCCCACTGCTTTTTCACATGAACAGAATTGCTGTTTCCTCAATTTTTGGGTCTACTGTAGCTTACTTACAGCATCCACCTATTCTCTCTTTGTTTGCTGTTAAGTGTAGTTCTACAAGAGCAGGCAATGTTATTTCACTCTGTACAAGCACATCAAGGGATTATGGCCTACAGTCAGAGTAAGCTTGGTCTGAGGCAATGCACACAAGTATAATCAAAACAGTAAGTCTCAGTTATCAGATTTTTAAGCTCTCTGCCTTCTTCATCTTCTGTAAAAACAACGCTTTATTTGAGTGACATTTCTGTATTCTGTGAATTTGCACAGTCCTACCAATACAGCATTTGTAATCCTATCAGTTATACCTTCTCTGTAACTCCTTGATTCGCACCATCAGGTTGAGATGACCCTGGGAATACTGCTCAATAACATCTCGGACATCGTATGGCTTTCTAGCTTGCTGTAAAATAAAAATCAGAAACAGATCAGTAAGCTACAAAGATGTATAAATATTCCATGTGAATGTAATTTATTTTCCAAAATCAAGAAGTAAATTCTTCTAAACCCATTTAACATTTTATTAAATTTCAGATAATTTGACCATTGTATGATCATATATTTATTGTGGAATAATTATGACAATTCTGATTAAATCCACCTTTTTTTTTTTTTTTGTGACTGCACGTCTACATAACTTTTGGGAGATTATCCATTAAACTTGAGGCCAAGAAACTATGTCTGCTCCTTTGCTCAGAACCTTGTGGTCACCTTAGAGCATCTTCTGGAAATCAGTTTTATACTCATCAGCTATTAGCCAGTAGAGAGCTCTTTTGCAGGTGTAAGCACTTATTCTCAGCCTGAGCTCTCAGTTCAGTTCATACTATGTGAACCTTAAACCACAGTATTGGTTGAAGGTGCATGACTGATTTCCTTTTGCAGAAAGCCTGGTTCAGCTTTCTAAACTACTGGGAAATATTGGGAAAAGACCGGGGCAAGAAACAATGAGAAAGAAAGCCCTGGGTTTGAAATTTGTATTTCATGTATGGGGAGATCTTAATCCAACCTATTAGTAATAAAAATACTTTTGTGAATTATTAAAGGCAAAGATCATTTTTTTTCCCAAGAAATATTGAGACTAACTGGGAAGTAACTGAATGAACCTGTCAAAGTGTAGTAATAAACTCAAAATATCTTAATCCTACTGTTAGAAACTGAAGCAGTGATGCTCTAACACAACAGAAGGACAGGAGTAGGGTCTAATCTTCCCACGTCAGACTGAATAGTAAGCAACACCTGACATTACAGAAGAACAGAACAGGCTAGAATGGAGTACAACAGAATACAAGGTACAGTATTCAAGGTGAAGCCATACCAATGCTAAATATAGCAGGAGAATCACATATTGTAACTGGCTGGTTACACTGTGTTCAGCACACCCCAAAAAGCAGCTTTCTCTCTTGGCTTTCAGGCCCCATTTCTGGCTCGTGTTGAGACTGCTGCCACCAGCACTTCAGGCCCCTTTCTGCTGAGCTGCTCTTCAGCCACTTGTCTCCCATCTGTGCATGGGTCTGTTGTCATTCCATCCCAAATGCAGCATTTGCATTTATGTTTGTTGAACTTCATGCCACTTCTGATTGTCCAAACAGTCAAAAGCACATCTTGGTTTACTACTGTCAGCAAATCTGCTGATGATGCAGTCAACTCCTGCATCCAAATCACTGACAGCAATGTTGAACAGAACCATTCTTTGAACTGAGTCATGGGGAATACTGCTAGTGACCTGCCACCAGCCACATGTAGCTCCATTCGCTTCAGCTCTTTGAGTTCTGCCCTTCAGAGAGTTCATCACCCAGGGTAACAGGAACCTGCTCACAGTAAGAACATTTGTCCAGAAGGATTCTGGGGATGGTATCAAAGGCCATACTGAAATCAAGAAAGATTAGATCCACTGCCTTCTCTTCATCTAAGCAGGTGACCCTGTCATAGAAGGATATCAAATTACTAAGGCAAGACTTTCCCTTCATGAACCCATGTTGATTATGCCTAATGACAGCTTTGTTCTTTAATTGCCTTTCTGTAGCACCCAGGACATTTTTACGTATCTTTTCTGGGTACTGAACTAAGATTGACAGGTCTGTTATTTCCTGAGTCTTCTTTTATGCCTATCTTGTGTACAGGGGTATAACATTGGCTAGCTTCCAGTCAGCAGAGACTCCCTTGACCTGCAGTAAACTGTTGAGAGGGTCCAGCTTTAACGTCTGCTAATTCCTTCAGTGCTGTGATATGAATCCTGTCAGGCCCCTTGGACTTACAAACACTCAATGGATACAACTGGTCTCTTACAATTTTGGTGGCTACAAATGGAGAGTCATTGCTCCCCATGGACCCCTAAACCTAAACCCTCTACAGTCAATTGCCTGGGGACACTGCTAACTAGCTCCTTGAGTAGCTTAAAGTTTGCTCTCTTAAAATCCAAGGTGCCAACTCTGCTGACATTTTTCCTCCCTACACTAAAAATGTTGAACTCAACTGTTTCATGACCACTGCTTAGAAAATGTTCAAGGTTAAATGAAAACCTGTTAATTCTCAACATCATCTCCATCAGCTGAAGTCATCCAAAAAACAGGACTGAAAATTTCAGGGCAGGCTCCAGTTTAATGTGGGGAAAACTTCCTATGACAAAAATGCATTGCAGTGCACTTCATTTCTTGAAGAAAACACTTTTTTGTATGTTTTGAAGGGGACAATTTCCTATTTGTCAAGTTTAATATCTTTGCTTTATCACACTCCCTTGTTCAGGTAAATGAAATACTGGATAAGGACCAGATTAGAATGGCAGTCAGTCCATTTTACAATTAAATTACTTTTGACATCCAACTGTTGTCTTCAGATACTGCCTTAAGAAGTTTCAAAAACTACACATCTTCTGAAGATCAATTGTTCTGCACCTAAATAATAGCTTTTGTTAGTCTCCTGTTACATTTTGCTCTTATTCCACCTGCTCTTAAAAAACTAGAGTTCAGCACTTCATCTTTAAAACTCTCTCTTCATATATTTACTTTTTCAGTAAAATATCACTTCATTAAGCAAATTGCATTTCAGTCTGCCAGAATCTCAGAAACCAACTGCAAACCTTGGCCTCATGTGAGATACTCACTGATTTGACCAAAGAGCACACAGGAGTTCCCAGGAAAGCCAAGTGCTTACACACATTGCAATCATAACCGACAGCCACAGAGAAAGAAGCCTGACCCAACAGTGGCATAAGCCCAAAGTCTTGTCCACAGGCTAATCCTGTAAGTGCAGTACTATCAAAACAAACAAACAACCCATGCCCCTGCCCCCTCCTCCCCAAATCTTTACTATCTTCATGTGATAACCCAGCAAGGGACAGATCTGCAAGATCAGCTCGAAAACTTCAGGTTCAGTAAAGCACTTTAGCAGGAAGAAGCACGAAGAGCTTTATTCTGCCTTCCATACTCTGCAGCAGGAGTCTGATAGTAATTCTAAATAGGTTACTGTCTGGTTTCTGTTTACCATTTAACAAAAAATGAAAATGTGGAGTAAACATAATTTATGAATGAAGTTCAGTTTCCAAGTCTGATGGAATATTTAATAGTCAGTACTGATTATTCTGCAATTACTTCATAGTGAAAGCTGACCTTTCAAGAAAAAATACTCATGCTGCTGCTGTTGACAACAGAATTTGTTAGTTCTGTAAAAGGAAAAAAAAACAACACAGCAGACAATGAATGAGTATTGAAGGAAAACGTACAAGCCAGTCCCACATGTTTCCTTAGCTTCTTTCCTCTCCTTTATTCCTCTCCTAATCAACTTATGGTAAAGAATTTCCTAAGTGAGAAAGACTTTATCTTATCATAAATGAAAATTCGCACAAATCACCAATGCCAGCTCCAAGTAAGAAATGCACACAAGTGCCCACTGCTGTTCCCTTGTAGCTGCATTCAGAGAGAACTTTCCCAAGAGCCAGACCAGGGAGAGGGGAATCCCTGCAAGGGTATTTCTGGGAAATGTAACCAAGTAACAGTCAAATAAAATGGGCCTGGGATCCTTTGAAACAAGGACACTTTGAACTACATTGTTTGCTACAGCCCAGTGTGGAGATTAGGAAAGATTACACACATACAACTCATGATTCATACTGTGACAAACAAATTTCATATGGTGATGTGTCTAAATGCAAGATTTTCCAGTGAAATCATAACAAACCAGGCAACGGTTACTCATGTCAACTGGTGGGACTCCAAGCTGTATCTTTAGTTTATTCTATGTATAGAATACTTGCCATGGTGAAGAGCACAAAACAAATTAAAAGCATGTTTCAGAAGGGAACTAAAAAAAAATAAATGTTTATAGTTGACAATGGGAAATCAGATCAAATCCCTGGTCTCTGGGTCTTTTCTGGTGGATGACACAATTGTATCCATGTGCATAAGTCACAAAACATTTAGGAACTTTCCTAATTGGAAATTAAATGTTATTTACCCATGAACTCAACCAGTGGAAATATCTAACTGTGGTGATTTGCTTTCTGAAAAGCAAATCTAGAACGGAGATACTTGATTTAGACCTAACGTGAAATTTACTTTTGTGTAGGAGAGGGGGACAAAGCCCAGGAAACCATTAATTTCTAAATACTGTTTTCCCTATAATCTATGGAATCCTTTCATAACATTGAGCTGTTCATCTTCAGTGATGCACAAGAATTGTGTTTACTACTAGTAGACCTTTCCTACACAATTTGAATGAGTCCCACAGACTTTGCAAGCGTTATAGCTCATTTACAAGAGCATAAACACATCCTTAAAAAGGGCATTAATTCTTCAAAATGTTATGCTGGGTTCCTACACGGGCATCATCATATGGACTGTATTCAGACCTAGACTTTAAAATACATCATAAATTTGTCCCCTTCTTTTAAAGAGGAAATGATTTGTATGTGTGATGCTTCACATAGTATTACTTTTCATGTCCTTTGAAATGCCTTTGTTTAGTTTCAATTTGTTTTTAATTACCTTTTTTTTTTAAACAGGAAGTCCCTGCTTTCTAACTGACATTTGTCCTTGTGTTGTCATCACCACTTGTTATTGATTGAGGTCTTTAAAAAAACGTATCTGCACAAAATTAGACATACAGGTGTATCCTGCAAACAGCTGGTACAGTTTAAGAAGCATGCTGGGTTCATGCTGAGACCTATTTTGCAAAATTTTGCTCTTCCTTCCCTTCTTCTCATTCTTCCCCTTCCCAAAAACTTTGAAGGCATCTCTAGAAAATTATCCTTTTAAGTGCTGACCTTGCAATTAATTCTTCCAGCTTACTTTAAACATTAGCAGTCTAGTGAAAATATACATAATTTTTTCCATAGGTAAGGGAAAAATCTGAATTTACTGTTAGGAAGCTACTTTTCACAAAGTTTCAAAGGCAACTATCTGCCAGAAAACAGCTTCTATGTAGACCTCTGAAAGATTAAGTTTTCAAAATGCATATTCTGCTTTACCCTAATTTCAGGTATTGTGTAGGACTGGTTAACACAAAGTGTATACTTACGAAAATGTTTAAACATGTGCCAAGTAATTTCTTGTGATTATTTTATGAGCACATAATAGAACAAAGCAGATTTACAACATACATTTGAGGAAAGAATAATAAGAGTGGTTATCTCCTAATTACAGGAGAGGTTTCCAAAATCACCTCGTGGCTAGAATTTCAAGGTGATTTTGTGCATTAGGTTACTTCAGTGCTTTTGAAAACTGTACTTTTGGTGCTCTCCACGTTTTTAAACTTGGTCATGACCTTGTATTCAGAAATTATGGAAAAGTATCAGGTATCTCCCTATTGGAAATCTCTACTTCCAACAGGAACAGACGTATATCATTTCAACACAGTAGTGACGTCAGATATTTCACTTTATCTTAACTTAGATTGCTGGTTCATTACTAACAGCTCATATTAATAATTCAGGAAGCATGAGGACTACTAAAGAAGGATAAGAGACAACCTTGTTGAAGGGTTTTGTAGACAGCCAGGAAGAGGTCTTTTGCAGGTGAGAAAGTTAGAGCACAACTGAGAAACCAGCTTCGTAAATGGGACACTGAATACAAACAAGTTTTGAGTAGGAACTGAATAGTCCCATTCTATTCAGTGAAATGCTTTTTCAGCTTCTATCAAGTCATCTGCCGCAGGGGAGTTTCATTTATTTGCCAGGTGGATAATGTTGCACACAGTGTTCAGGCATTTTCCAAATCTGTTTTTGACAATCACCACCTGGGAGGTAGATATGTAATGTGTAGATTTCTTGTTTCTAAATAGCTTTGCTAATGCCATGGCAAATATTTTATGTTCTGAATTTATGGGAGCAATGATTCTGTAATTACCACAGACCAAAGAATCGCAATCAGTTTGCAGAATAAGAATAAACTGAAGTGTAATGAAATTGGCCACATTCACGCTGTTTTTCACTGAATAGCAATGGACGCTTCACTGGAATGAGCAACATCCCTTTCCAACTTACAAGTGCTGACCAGCCAGCACTAAGGAACTTCTCAACAAAATAACTACAGAAATTATTTTCCAGTAGCCAGATTCCATGGCTTTCTTAACTTTAATCTAAGAAAAATGTTAGGCAAAATCTGCTAGCAGAAACTTTCTGAAAGTGTTCCCATCAAGAAAATCCCTGTGGTGGGAGGTTTCAGCTTCAACAATCTGAATACTTTATCCACAACTGAATGAAATTTGGGGAAATGTATGGCAACCTTAGCTATAAATTCACTCATCAATTTTGGGGAAAAAAAGATTCACAAAAGAAAATTACTAAAAAAATTCAGGTGATGGTTCTAAATTTTGGAGCTGAAGTCAGAATCCAGGCTTTGAAGCAGCAGCAAGCAGCGGTTTATAGAAACAATGCATCCATGAATAGTTAATTACCATCATTTTTTAAATTCCTAAATGTTGTGCTCTTCATACATTTGAAGGACAAAAGATCCCTTCTCATCACAACCCTTTTTTTTGGTGTAGATTAAGGGAAAGCTTTTCAATCTCTTCCATACAGCAGTGCCAAGTTTATGCTCAAGTATGCATGTGGGCAGTTAAGCTCTCCTCTTTCTTTGCATTTTCAGCTGTTGTGCCTGTTCTATGGAGACTGTCCCTTATGAATTCCTTTTAAGTCAAATTATGTATTTCTTATATACATGATATATTCACCTGGTTCAAATCAAGCTGAAGGCTATTGACACATGTTTTCATGAGATTAACCAAATTGATTTTAAAACCACATTCATAGAAAGTTTGCAGCCACAAATTTTCATTCGGACCAGGCAACCAAGTAAATTAGTTACTGCAAAACACTCATTATATTGCAATATCCCTGCAAGAGAAGAGAGGGAAGAGACACGCTGGAAATGTTTGTTGGTGGGGGTTACAGAAGAGAACAGACTGTCACAAGTTGTGAAAGAGGTGTGCAAGCATGCATTAGGGACAATTGAAAAGGATGCTAAAACCTTCCAATCCACTAGCAAATTTCCATTCCAGTTTCTTATCAGGACTTCAATATAATTGACTAAAAGACAGAAATAAGGCTGAGGTAGTATTTTAATCTCTAATCCTACTGACTCAGCATGACAGTAACATACAGCTCAGAATTAATGGAGACATATGAGAATGTTTGCACTGTGAGAAAGAGGCAGCGATAACGGAAGGTTAGAGGTCAAGTCCATTAGCAGAAAATAACATTTTAATTCAGACTGCATTTCAGGAGTTTAGCCTATTTTCAGTGTGTCCACAGTTGACTAGCCTGCTGCTAAACAACTACTCTATTCAAGTAGGGAGAGAATAGTGGGTGTAGCTCTCCGTTACTGAAATGAATTGTGTCAGTCTCTTAAAGTTTCTAAAAGAAACAATGAAGCAGGAGAGTAAGAGGGCTTATTAGGAAAAGCAGCTTTCTATTCACTACTCACCTGAAACTTTTTCTTGGCCACAAAATACTGCATTCTTCGAATCACTTTAATTGCAGCACGGTGATGTTCTCTCAGCCTGCGGGAAAAACAAGGCAGGTGAGTGAGGTGAAGGAGCATCTCCTTCCAAATGGTGAAATAGCAGCCTTTAGTAAGGGCTTCACCAACATGTGGATGTGTGATGTAATGAGTAGCAATTCATCCAATGTGTACAACACAGTACTATTTCGACCTTCCCCACCTCAAAGAATGCCATAAAAGTCAGGATTTTATCTGCCCCACGTTAGGTTTGCGTACATGTCACAGCAAGAAGTGTTCACTTAACCTCTATGTCAAAACAATCCTCTACTCATCTTTCCCAATTCAGCCACGTACAGCTTTTGCACACAATTAGAATTCACGTTTTTCTTTTCCTGTCACTAAGTCTTGTACAATACATACCTTCATGAAAATGATTTCAAAAATGATTTTAGAAATACTGAAGATTTTCAAGTAGTTGTCTGCTAAACAATCCAAATGATCCCGCAGTAGCTGAATGCAACCTCAGTATACACATACATCCCCAAAGTGAACTGGAAATGTACATAAACACAGACCAAGCCTGCAGGTCTTTAAACAAATGTATCTCCCTCTCATGCATATAAAAAAGATGACAACTAAAAGAAAATAAATGGCTATTTGTACAACTTTTCATACTACCTGACAATATTATTTTTCAGAAGGAAATGTATGTATGAAAGAAACCTGTTTATTATAGGAACAGTCATTTGCCATCTTTCATAATTTTTAATGCTTGTAAGGACAGTTTTTTCTTCTTAACATTAACAGTGCCAAATCTAATATATAAAATATCTGTTGATGACTTATTCTACTTGCTCACTCCATTACTATTCTCCAGATGCGCTAGAATGTCATTATTGGCAAGCATATGACAATGTTTACTTCTTTTCAGAAAGGCTGGAACCTCCAGTATTTTGAGTTTTCCTCCCAGGTAGACTTCCAGTGATGGCTTAAGCACAGGAGCAGACAAAGCAGAACTGGTTTTACTTAGATATTCCACGTGTTTTTCCTTCATACATTGTTAGTAACAAAGCTGATAGGTAGGAATATTCCTGTATTGAATATGTAAGTCTTGTAAAAGCTTGGCTATTTAGTATACTATAGCATGGTATTACCTAATTTGTTTTAGTTAACAGTCTGAACTATCAGTCAACATTCAGGTAACTCCTTAGGACAAACTTCTCTCAGCAACCAGAAATTTTGCATGTGCCAATGATGGACATCAGTCCTCTGAAAATATGGCAAGAGGAGCCTTTGTGAACACTCATACTTTTGAGTGGGAATGAGTGAGCTTTCTCCAAATGCAAAAGCCAAAACCAAGACTGAAATACATTCATTTCCTACATGTGCATACTGCCTCTCAGCTGGTGTCTGAATAAAATAAATAAAATAAAAAAACCTGCTTTCTCCTGATACACTGTACGATAGGATAGCTTTTCAAATTAATAACATAAGCTTTTCAACGCAGGCCTGCTGTCCACTACGTGCATTTACACAGAGTAACTGCACCTCAATGATTATGCATTGTTCCCCAAATCTGCAGTTGGGTTTGTATGGGAGGCCCTTCCCTACTAATGCTTACTGAAGGGTCTCACAGAGACTCTGTCCATGTCCCTTCTCATGCACACTTGACTGCAAGATTGTGGCTCATGTTATAAGAATGGGAATTCACTTATAAGTGGGCCAGCTGCCTTCTTGGATCCACTCCCAGTGAACTGAGTCAGCTCAATGCTAGTAAGTGGTATTCCCATTGCGAGAGCCCTTGCTGAATCACTGCTCACGACAGGGACAACATACACAGAACCAGAAGGCAATAAGGAATTTATCTTTTTAAGTCCTACTTCACAGAGTTAGATCCAAAAAGATAAATGCTGCTGAATTTGGTATTAGGTATTAAAGTTGTGATAGCGTAACCTTCATGCAGGTCTGCATACATAAATGTACACACAACACCTTATGACAAATAGAAATACACTTCTCTTGCAATAAAACTGCTTGTAGCGTTTTGTTTTATGCTTCATTTCCTCTGGGGTGTCCTTCACAGTCCATTATTTGTAAGGAAAATACTTTTCTGTGGGGCACACGGTCACCAGTAAAGTACACCAAATCCCTCATCCTCTGTCTCAATGCAGAGGATCATCTGTACGCAAGGCAGCAGGACAATAAAAATGAGATTCACCATTCAGTCACATAACAGTGCTACAAGACCAAAACGATTTTCCAATGCTGCAATTTTAAATCAATCCTTTTTCAGTGCTAACATGAACTTCAGTGCCAGGAATGGAAGTTAATATTTTGTTCCTTTACATTTCCAACTGCAATAGGAAACCTCACAGTAAACTTCTGCTTATGCCGTAAAATCTAATTCTGCCCAACAGGCTGTCCTGCTTCCCTGAGATTAAATGCTTCTGCAATGAGGGAAGGGAATAAAGCATTTAATTAGTAGCCAAGGTTATGATTCACAGTTGTTTGATCTCTTTTGCAAACTGGTAACAAATGCTTCAGTAAATTGAGAGCTTAAACATTAACTGGCAATATTTGTTTGTTCAGCCACTCGTGACATCTCTAAATTCTACTTACAAAATGACTGCCTGCAATCTGGAGGGACATACAGAGTCATTGTATGTAGCGAAATAGCTACACAATGCATTATTATCCTCCAAGCAAGATCTTCATGAAGACTGCTTTATGTTACTGAATTTTAAAGGAGCGTGGAGGGAAATTACATCATCTGAGAGTGCTTCTAGGCACAGGGGCAGCACACTTTCATGGTTCACGATCCACGGAGAAAGCAGGGGACATCCTCTGGAGAATTACTGCTGCACAGAACACATTTCCAATGGCAGTGCCAGGTGCATGTCACCTCCTTGTTCATGCTACAGCTGGGCCATCAGGAAGAACACTACTGTTCAAACGTTTAACCATAAGCCATAAGGCCAGAAACATCCACTGTCCTGTCTCGGACCAAGACCAACTGCTCCTTGTACACAGCTTACTGCACAGCCACTAACTGCCAATAGCTTTCACTGGCTGCCCATGAACTTCTGTTCAACATAAATATGACGTCAAAATAATCTTCAACACAGCATATACTACCCAACACTTCTAAAGGACTTTAAAAATTAATGAATAGGACTGCCAATGAAGCAAGAAAATTGTCAGAAGCCATAGCAATTATCTAGAAGTATTGCAAAAAATATTACAACTAAACAAAAACAGAAAGTCATCCTGGTAGTAGCAGGGTTGACAACTTCATACAAGCCCTAAATTATTCCTATTCTGACACTTAGAAACTAGGTTTGTTTTTTTCTGTGTACTGAAAAAGTAACCTGCTGCTGATGTGGTCATTCTGTGAAGTGTAAGAAATGAGGACAAAGGAAAAAACACAACAGGAAACATGCAACAAAAGGCAATGGGTGACTTGAGCATCTGCACTGTAAGAGAAAGCCTGACAGAATAAAATGACTAGAAATCATTAGTTTTTCTGCCTTCTTTTGTTGTTAGGTTACTAACCCTACCACAAACCATTTGGAAGAAACCTGATCACTTCATTAGTCCGTCAGAAATCTGGACTGGAATTTCAAATAATTTGGAAAACAAGCATGCTGAAGAACTTAAGGTACTTTTACAAACATGCTTATTTGGTTGGAAAGTTATATATTTACAAATGCCCCAAACTATTGTAAAAGAGCCATTAGCATTGCAATGTTATTTATTTTTTACAACATATCCAAAACCTCAACACAATCCCAAAGGTATGACTCATTCTACAGTCCTGCATTCACAGACAGCCACAGTGATGACCCTAGACTTCAGCCAGCATCCATCCTCATTGCAGGTTGCTGTCTCAATCCTGCAAAGGGACCTGCAGGGGTTCCCCAGAAGAATGCTTATGTGGCCAACGCTGAGATTCCAAGAATGAATATTTTCTTCCTACAACACCAGCCAGGAAGTAAGCAGTTACACAGTTTGGCTGTTTCACATTTCAAGAAAAATTAAACTTTTTTTAAAATAAGAAGAAGCTTTATAAGATTAATCTCTAAAACGCACGGTTCTTTCATTAAAGAATAAAATAGGAAAAATATTTAGTAATTGGGTATATTTATTGTTCTTACAATGATGCTGAATTTGATATCAAATCCTTAGTAATCCCATTACAAGTTTGGCCCCCTCGTCATCTTAGAAAGGTATTCTAACTATTGATTTAGTGCTAACAGAAATACTGAATCAACAACTCAGAGGAAAAGTGGTGCTAATTTCCCAATTAAAACACTTGTATTTTGTTAGCTTGTAAAACATCTTATTTTCAGGACCATAATACCTGGCACAGACATCCCCGTGTACAAGGGCATCGATACCATCAGAGTTAAAAGGTCAACACTGCTCAGAATGAGTTTAACAAGAAGGAAAACTCAGGAGGAGAGAGCTACAATATCCTTTACAAATACTCTCTTCTCAGTAAACCCAACACTGATTTGAAGTCAAGCTCAGTTTTCAAATATATTTAAATTCTCTGCAGTCTTCTTAAATTTCCAACTAAAGACAGAGCTGAAGCATTAAGAACTATGGCTGCAGTTGGTTGCCTTTAAGTTTTTGGCACTAATCATTATTTAGACTTGAACTTTATCTTTAACACATCAGATTTTAATAATATTTTTTGCATGTGAACTGAAATCTTTTTCCATTCAGGCACTGAAAATTGTTCCTTGTAACAAAATCTGGTGGAAAAGATTCAGAGCAACTACGTTAGGCCATTTCATTAGTGCATTTAAGTCTAACAAAATCTTTCATCATTAGCTCTCTGGGGGCTTTTGGTATAGAATTTGCTGTGACACAAGGTTATTCTTGTCTTTTCACACATTCTGTCATTCCCTACACATTACACTTGATGGGAGCCTCTGTTATTGGGCAACATTTTATATGTGATGAGTTGGAATGGATCAGGTTGCACTGATGTGTGTCTTGCAATAGGAAATGCTTGCTCACCATGCCCAGGAACAAAATCAGAATCACTGATAA